CAGATATAGAGAGAGATAGAAAGAGAGACAGACATAGAAATTCAGAAATTCACTGGAGTTTTACCTGGCTGGTTCACATGAAGGAAGTCTTAAGTATTTAGTTCTGTATTGACCTACAGAAAAAGGAAAAAAAAATGTAAGTTGACTAATTTGGGCTCCATGACATGAATCAAGACCTTGGTTGCTGATTGATTTTTGTTTGCAATTTTCAACTAAGATTTCTAGAACATGACCCATTTGGTGGTAAAGGTTTGTGTTTGGTACCTAGATTCCATTTCCAAATATTTTTTAAACCAAATAAATAAGGAAATATACAAGTGGCCTTATATCATAACTTGAGGACTCTATCTTCCAACATTTCATGGTGATCTTCCCCCTTCCCTTTTAGTAAGTGACCAGAGCCTTGCATCTTTTTGAATTATAGTTGTTACTAAATTGACTGACAAGTGAGTTGAAGCGTTTGCCTTGAAAAGATTAGTCTATTACAGAAGTGCTTTCTGAAACTAAGTAAGTCCTACTATAAACACTTGAGGCAAGATAGCTCTGGGAATTTATGATGTGTTCCAGTATCAAGACTCCACAGTGCAAGCACTCTTGTTTATTGATTTCACTCTGCAGATTCAGGGATGTAACTTCAGCAACAACCAGTGAATAGTTAATAGAGCCACACGTGCTTGATAAACTTTGTCTTGAATTACTAACAAATCATCTAGTATTAAGACTGCACTCTCTGAATATTCTCCTGGTTATCCATATCCTTATATTTCTTAATTCTTACAACTGTGGCTTCCATGTAACTGGGATGCTGTGTAATTTGCTTAATGCACATGAAAACTCTCTTCTGAATAACTTTTTAATCAGATCAAGTAAAAAGTCTTTACTTTTTGACAAGGAATACATACCTTTTAAAATTTAATTCACAGTAGGTTTTTTTTGAAAGCTGATCTTTTACCACATTGTTGGTTGTTTTTCCTTGTACTCTCTGCCCTTGAGCTCTCTGGCCTTCTGGCCCATCACAACAGCTGACTTTGTTTCTGCTCTTTGGTATGCTTTTGTGACCTTCGTTAATGCTCATCTTGCAAGCTGTAGATTATATTGTGAAACATCTTAGGCCCATAGCTCTTGGAATTCTAATAGATATACCATGAAGGGGTATATTAGCCATTATCTTTCAAAGAAATCATTTAGCAAATATAAATGGATGTTTAAATTACTGTCTGAAACCAATGGTCCATTTTAACTGAAATCATATGATTGTATTACTGTAAGGTTTTGAATTAATTCAGATTCTGAGTAATGGGCAAAGACCTCTAGTTTTACTACTATTTCCTTTTTATGTGTAATTTACAATACTTCGAGTCATAAATTCTACTTACCTTTATAACATATGGTTATTTAAATTATGCAATTAACACCAAAACCCGGTTCTCTATCTTAATCACTGTTTTGTTACCCATTTAAAAAGTGCAAAGCATCATTTTATGTCAATACAGTTTGTTCCACTGCTTTTAGGCAAGATTGGATGTATATTAATGAAGTGAGAATCTATCCCATCCAAAAAGATTGCAATGACATAGTTGTCCTTGATATGTAGGTCCAACTTTTGATTATCTTAGAATTAACCTTGTAATATAAGAAGGGCTAAGCATAGATTACTATAAATGTCTTTTCTAAAGTTGATCATATAAAGTATTTTCAGAGGACCGTCTATAATCTTTGATTTTTTTGACACTTCTCTAGACATTCTTTTTCATAATTCCCCTTTTCTTTCTATAATGGAGCTTGGCAAAAGTTGTCATATCCCAATACATTTGTGATCTATTGTGACCATAATCTTAGTAACTACTGCTTATATTTTTGTACTTTTTAAAGACTATTTAAAAGAACTTTGAAATATTTATTTGTTCTTCTAACAGTGAATTCCATCTCATTTATTATCACATTTTCTTATGACTATTTGGAAAGACATAATACACTTTGCCTGTTAAATTTGTACTAG